CACTAGAAGCTTAAATCCATCCACACAGTCCTCCACCTTAAGCACAGCCAAATGTAAAACAAAAATTGAAGGAAATGTTCTTTCAAATAAATTTGTTATCAGTCAAATTGTCCTTTAATTGACTTGTTAAGGCCAATGTTGTGTTTCTTGCCCCTGGCAACCCTTAAGACAATCAAATCTCATTGTCTCTTATCACGATTCATTTAGCTCCAATGGAAACAAAGTGTATCATGAACTGTTCATTCATTACTGCCAGAAGCTCCTCAGCAGCCACTTTGTGCTCTTCTCATGAGTTCCCACAGTGTTGTCAGCCAGGCCCTTGTGCTCCTGTAAGCACAGCCCTTTCACAAGGTCTTTGCACATGCAAGACTTTTCCCCTTTTAATTTCTGAAAAGTGGATGTGAAAATGTGAGGGTGTGTGTCCATTGAGAGAGTGTGTGAGTGACAGAGAGGTTCATCCCTTGTGCCTGTCTTTCTAAGCACTGCTTTGGGCAGGGGTATCTATGCTGACAGTAGATGGTGGGGGCAACGGGCTGGAGGATTAGAGGGCTTTTAGTCCAGACTGAGAGTGGCTCTTTCTTCGAGTGACAGAGAGAGGTGACGAGCCATCAGCGTCCAGGGGACAGGCAGACAGCCAGCCAGAGACATCTGCATTCATTCAGGACAGCGGCTTATCCGCGGACCGAAACACGCCCACTTGAAACGCCCTTCCTCGATACTCTCACACTGTTTTGCACATGCACACAAGTGCATAAACTGACACAAATGATTTATATACAGTCCCAAAATAGTCCTGAAATGGCAGGCTAACTTGGTTTAAATTGCATGCTAACTGGCTTTAAAGCAAAAACAGCAACTCTACACCGTTGGCCATAACAGTGCAGATAGGTTTGCTTCTGTTCAAACTTCTGCCTCTTCTCCTCCATCCATCCTCTCATGCCTCGGAGGTTGAGAAGACATCCAGAGCCAGAATAGAACCAGCCCAGCCATCTAATCCTCTACTCCCATTCACCATCACTGCTAATCTCCTTCTCCACCTCCTGACAAATGCTACCACCAGCACTATCCCCTCCACCTCCGCTTCTCACTCAAGAGGTGCACAAAGCCCCTCCAAGCAGTGCTGTCCCACCCCTTCTCACATCTTCAACCTGCTCCACCCGTTGCCCCCTGCAGCAGGAGGCAACCAGCTTTCAAAGCCCATCCCAAGGGGCTGCCAGTTTGGGTGAGCCCAAATACTCACCGAGTGCCGGATAACTCTGTTTTGGTACCAGACTCTCTGACCCATTGTTACCGCTACTGAGGAGAGGATAACCAGAAATGGAGTTTGAATTGCAATGTGTCTTTACGTCAGAGAGAAATAGAGAGAGAAATATGTTTTTTTTACAAAATGTACAAAAAACAAACCTGAATAATTCTACATTTATAAACCATTTTCTTGAGCCGGTAAGTACTAATTGACACTTAACAGGGTTAATGAAAAGTCACTCGGACCAGTCTGATCCCAGGTGGACTTTTCCTGCATGCTTTAGGTCGAGAACTCAGCTGATTTGTTTGGTTTAGTGATGAACAGCTCCTGTAGAAACTCATGAAGGCTGAGGAGACATGTCAGCAGTCAGATTAAGGTGTTAACAAGACAAACGCATGCCAAAACTGCTTAATATCCCTTTCATTACTTTTTCTGTCAGATAACAGATTTTACAAAAAGCATATCTTACTTAAACTAGTCAGCAGCACTGTGCATGCTAAAATCACATCGATACACACATCGTGCGCCTACACCACGTTTCCTGCCCTGCTCTTCATTTCTGCTTACGATGGGGAGCGAGAGCTTGGCAGACCCCTCAGAGCTGCCTCTCCACATCTTATTTACAGAAGCTATCTTTCCCATAAGTCACCATTCCTGTGTTCATAAAGCATTGTGCACGCCATAACTCACTCTTTCCTTTTATGAATAAAGCTCCCAAATTTATGGTGATGGCACTGAGGAGTGGTGGCCCCCACAGTGACAAACTTCCCCCAGTCTGTCAGCACGGGCTTGGGTGGCCACTCAGGACCCTACATCAAAGGCTCCAGGTGGGAGCACCGCTTTATCACTCCCGGGTTGGTGACATCACCTTGCCGCGCCACACAAAATTGATGATGAAAGCAAACATATCTGTCTTCACTCACATTTGCCAAATCAATTTTATTTTTACAGACCTTCTACAGGGTTATTGGCATATTGATGCTCTGCAGGCGGGAGGATGGGGGTGGGGGTGGGGGGCTGCAGCAGCCGGATAGACGGTGAATGAGTGGGCATGGGAAAAATAGGAAGGGAGGGGGTCAGGAGGGCTTAATTGCATTTACCATATTTAATGCAGAGGGATGTCATCACTGAATATCCATTCTGAATAATGTGGCATTTCATCATAAATTCTTTACAACTTATTTACTTAATGGAAAGAGTTATTGCTCGCTGTCAGGATGGTAATTAAACAATGTGATACAGTGCTGCCTCGCTAGGATCCCATCTTTACCCCCCTACACACACACACACACACACACACACACACACACACACACACACACACACACTCACATATATCTAAGCTCCTTAGTCTTTTAAATACATATTATTATTCACCGTCCACATAACTTACAACTGGATTAAAATTCATGAAACCCCTCCTTTCTTTTATTTTCTTCCCTGGGAAAAAATAAAAGAACCCAGAGAACTTGTACATAACCAGCTGTAAATCTGTTCTGCAAAGATTGGCACTGGATTTTTTTTCAGTGCAAAGTAAGTGAATTCAATATTTGGTGTTCGTTTAACAATTTATATCCCCCTAACAGCTGATTAAAAATGACCATCAGGAAACAAAATTATTGTGATTTTTGCCAAACCAAAATCCAAGAAAAGTTTTATCATTATACTGAATCATCTTTTCATCCAAACCTGTGACTTCTTTCGCAAACTGCATGGTCAGCCATCTTTAATGAGCTTGGCTTCGTCCAACAAAAGGACAAAGCCCTGCATGTGAAGGACTAAAACCCTCACGTTTAAATTAGGGTGGATCTATTCAGAGAAACTAAATGAGGCTGATACTCTGCCAGCCCACTCATCCCGCTCCATAAAACCAAGCAAGCTTGACACTGACAGAGCCCATAGCTAACCTTTGGCCTTGTCCTGCGACCCCCACCTTCGATTTTGTTTGTGTCTGCTGACCACTATGTGATTTTCCAATAGTCACACTGGGTCCCTATGGATGAAGACGGGATTTATGGCTTTTTATTTTAATTGAGCTGAGAGTGCGACGTCAACTCTGTTTCTTTCAGTTGCTCTGAGCTAACATTACATCACTGGTCTAAATGTGAACATGACGACATGGGAGGAAATGAAAAGAGAACTGATTTGAATGCTACAGTTTATTCTGGCCAAGAAAACCCCCTGGTCAGAAATATACTACTACTAAAACTGCAGAAAAAAAGGAATTGAGGCTGCAATTTTCATATTAGTAGTAGCACTAAAGCACAGCACAGTCTGTTACAAAAACACATGTATTTAACCTTGCCATAAATCTTTTTTATTCATGGTAATTGTTAGAATTAGTTCCATTAAGTCTTGGCATTGAGTGGAATACATTTGTGACCACAAAAATCTTGAAAATAAATAAAATAATGCAATATTCATGTGTTTAATACTTGTGTGATGCTGGCTAGACATGAACTATGCCCGTGTCCCTCATAGTTATTCGTTGTTTTAGTGATTGAAGGTTACAATAATAGATCAGTGCCTTTGTGTTTTTACCTGGAATCCTGTTATTAATTTTTATGTGCTGTTGTAACGAGTGAATTTCCCCACTGTGGGATTTATTATTCTATTCTATTCTATTCTATTCTATTCTATTGATTCTACGTGGTCGGTAAGCACTCAAATTACGTGTGAGAGAAGACTCTCAGACACATCAAATTGTCTCAATATCTGTCAAATTAACAGAGAGCCTTTTTTTTGTTTTATAAGGTCGGTTGACTCTGATGGTCAGCTTCAATGAGATTGACCCCGATAATGTATTAGTTGTAGAAGTACATCTATTGATTACTTACTGATAATTTCATTAGAAGTGGTCCAGTGGATCAAGAGAGAACAAAAACCTCAATAGCAAATAAATGATTACAATCCAGCAGAATCTTGAGTGTGAGGTGGTGATAACTATTAGGCCCCGTCCACACGTAGCCGGGGATCTGCCAAAACGTAGATATTTTTCACGTTTTGGCCTGTCATCCACACGAAAACTGAGTTTTTTCACACAAAAAAGGATCTTTTTAAAAACTCTGGCCAAAGTGAAGATCTGCGTTTTCTCCGTTTTGGGTGTCTGCGTGTGGACAGACAAAACCGGAGTTTTAAGGTCCGCAACGTCACTTTCCGCGACAAAAAAATGCTGACATCACGTGTGCGACCTGTATTTACACTAGCCGACAGCATGCCCTCAGAGCTGCGCTCGCTTTATCAATTGTCCAAGCGCTTTCTGCTTGTTTGTTTTTGCAAGCTGAATTACTGCTCCTTGCCCTAACCCTAACCCACAGACGAAGGACGAGGTTAAGAACGGGGGAAGTACTGCCGCCTACAGGTCTGGCATGTCCTTAACAACGTATTTATCCGGGTACATGTGGACAGTTTTTTTTTTAAACGAGGCGGTGTGGATGCAAGTTTTTGGAGGGGCGGATATTTGTTTTTAAAAGAACCCGGCTACGCGTGGACTAGGCCTTAGTAACACTATGAATGTGCCATAAAGCAGACCTGCAACCTTGACTGAATAACAGCCATTTTATCTGTTTGATGCAATTTCAAACCAGAATGATTTCAAAAGTTAACTAATTGCTAAATTTCACCCAAAGAAGACTTAAGGAGAGTTTCAAATACAATCTGTCCAGTTTTCAACATGCAAAAACACAACTGCCAATCTATTTTTAACTAACTGTTTTGAAAACTACCAAAATGTCAAACTGAAGGAAATTCTTACCTCCCAGCCTTGATTGGGATCTTGGAGGTAAGGTCTGTGTTCTCCTTCATAAGGGCCAAAGCATTCCCCAACATTCACCTTCCTGTGGCTCCAAATGCCAAGAGCACCACCTGGAGCTGCTGACTCTCTCAGTTCAAAGTCCAGAGGAATGGACAAGTCGTTTTGTGGTAAAAAGATGCTTGGTTGCTGGATTGTGTGAGATGACAGCTCATCGTCAGATAAAGGGTCGTCTGCCATGGCTGAAGAAAGTGTGGGATCACCATTAGAGCTGCATACATCATCTAAGATGTTGGCTGGATACAGGGCAAAGTCATCATCACCATCGCCTGTGAAAGAAACAAAGTCTCTAAGTGAAGGTGGTGCTCGGAGATGGATTTCCACAAAGAAGAATGAAAATTGATACAATTGGAACAGAGTCTGAGATTTATTACAGAATCATATTGTGGTAATTGGGCTTGGTTGGCATAAGGGGCTAAACTAAAGTACAAAAATAATAAAACATGTTTTGATTGGTATCATCTTGCCATGGATCAGATCTTTGGCAAGTTTGACTTTTCGAAAATAGCTTTTCTTTGATGTAGCTGACATGTATTGCTGTGACTACATGCGACTGAAGGTTTGATGCACAAAAGGCAAAGAAGTTGAAACAGGAAGAGAAACAGAATGTTAGCCCTATCTTTGCCATGCCACATATACGTACGCTCAATATAAACAAAGACTTTATAGAGGAATTATAATCTTGTGAGCCAGATTACAATAACAAAGCATGTTTGCCATGTGGTAGAGCTAATGCCAAGAGGACCAACCAGGGACTAGTTAGCATTGTAGTACACTGACTGCTTTATATTTCCTTTTCCTGAACTTTTCACCACTGTACTGTGAAAACAGAGGGAACCACATGAGGGTTAATTGTGAACTGAGTGAAACAGGACATGGATGTTTGACCCCTGAACCCACACTTGGTTTCTTCAATCAAATTAATCACAGTTGCAGACTTTTGATCAAGTAAAGTCAAATAAACAGAAAAAAGTTAGCGCATAACCAAAATAATGAAGAAGGAATCCAATAGAGCACTAAAATGGTCAAAAAACAGGTTCATTTTCAGACAAATCAGGGCTCAAGTTTAATGAAGAGGGAATCTAACATGACAAACTGCTAGCCAGGTGTCACACAGTGAGGCAGACGGACACTCGAAGGCAGAAATGATCCACAGGAATCTGCTGCTTTGTGGAGGGCTGTGCCTAACGCAGGCTGACAGGTCACGCGGAGAAGGGGCTCCGCTAATGAGGCTCAACAACCCATCCTTGCACTGAGGAAAATTCCTGAAGGGCTTCCTGTGTGACACTGTACCTCTGCGCTGTCGGCCGTAGAACCCTTAATCCAAACAGATACACACACACACACTCACACACAAACCTCTTGTTCACTGGCCATGAATTAACAATCCTTCTGATTGACTGAACGGGTCATTGTGGCTGGCCACAGGCGGTTGTGTACCAACCTGAGAAATTACCTCCAGAATTTGAAAAAAAATCATTGAGCACTCGCTCCCGTCTTACAGTACCTGATAAAAAAAGATGCATGTGTGTCCACATACCCTTACACAACTTCAAGGTCAGCATGCAAAACTGTCAAATCCAGCATAAGTAGAGCATAAGCTGTTTTCCTCTGCCAGTGAGGAATCATAAGTCGTGTCAAAATGTGTTTGCTGCTTGAAGAAAAAAAAAGTCTCAGCATGCTGAATCAGCTGTCTGTTAAGGATAGATGTGAGTGTGCTCTGTGTTGCGCTGTAAGTGTATTTGCAGAAACATACAACGTCTACATTTCTCATTCTTCTCAGCAACACCTGATTACAGTTTCTGTGCAACCACCGCGGTGGTCACACATGTTCCAGGGAAAAGTCTGTTCCCGCACTGGGTCCTACTTGAAATTCGCTGCAGTGTGTAAAATGATTTTCTGTACTGAGTCCGGAACATGGTTACGGATCTAGATGTGAAGTCTGCCATATGGCATAGAGGGACAAGGGCTTTTAAAGGTAACCGTATACCTCGGTAGCTGTTTCTCTTCTGACATTTACCCTCTCGTGCTTTTCTCAAAGTTTATATTTGATTCAGGCCAGATATTCTCTCGGTCCACTGGACTCAGGGAGAGCATTTCAGCTCATAAACTTCATATTTCTTTAAGGTAAATGATAGTCGAAAACAAATACGCTATGTTGGGAGTTTTAAAAACTTGTGTGGTTTTGCATGCAGACGATTGATAAGTCAAAGACCGTGACTTTGCTTAGTAGTGTTGGACAGTCAGGTTTATGCACACACATGACTGGATTGGATTTGTCACTTTGTGCGTGTGTGTGTGTGTGTGTGTGTGTGTGTGTGTGTGTGTGTGTGTGTGTGTGTGTGTGTGTGTGTGTGTGTGTGTGTGTGTGTATGTGTGTGTGTGTGTGTGTGTGTGTGTGTGTGTGTGTGTGTGTGTGTGCATTTCTTTGTCACTGCATCTGCAAAGCAAATAGTCCTATTTGTTTGTTCAGCGAAGGACATTACTTCATTACTGCAAGCAGACGCCCCTCATCAAAGAAGGAATTTAGGTTAGAGCGGGGAAACTCCAGCTGGGAGCAGCACCACATTTTCAGCTGCATCAGGAACACAGATGAGAGTCTGATAGCAAAAGAAAAAAACAAGCAAGTGATACAAAAAAATTCAACAAAAATTTAATTAAAATAAGCTTTTTGACATTATCTCCCAAATCAACTTCAGCTGTTATCACCAGAAGATGCATCGTGACACTTTGCATAAACAAAGTCATGCACGGGCTTGCTTATATATCATCCATTTAACTGCTTGATTCATTAATTTTTATTAAGAGGGGGAAAACATTTGTTCACAGGCCTGCTATCTGCATGGGTGGAATGATTTTCACCTCTGCCACAAGGTGTTGGGCGCACTCATACATCACATGATTACCCCGAGCAGCGAGCAGGGCCGCCATCATCAGGGAGTGAATTAAAGATGATAGAAGGAGCTATTAATCACTGTGACAAAGCCCCTAATGGAGGTGCGACCCAGCCACTGCTGACAGGATGCCGAGGGAACGTACCCACGGGACAAATGGATACATATGTTTACAGAGAATAACCTACCTGTAGACACAGTTAGAAGGAAACAGAGAGAGGTTGCTAACACCCTTTTTATTTCTCTCTCTCATTTGCTCTTCCAACATCTGCAGGTTGAATTATTTTACTGTCTCTCTTAAGCGCGAGCCACACTGTGTGTTTATCGGACGTCTTAGACAAATCTCTCGTTGCAGAGTTAGGTGAATATGAGGGGGATTTGTAAGTCTGTAGCTCACTGACAGCTTGCTCACCAAGTTCAGTCTCCAACAGTCTTCCAACGGGGTCACCAGAAAACCAACGACTTCGGTCTGCAATCGACCAATGAAAATACACCCAGGGAGTGATGCAAACTGGTAGCATTAGCAACACCAATGTAAAACATGTGGACCACTCCTTTTTAGAGTTTGCTTCGAAGTAAAATAAAAAGAGTTAACGGTGGAACTTTTTTCTCTTGTTGTTGTTGTCTTGGGTATCTGCCGGCTTTTAGTCACGTATGCTTTTCGGTGAGTACTCTCATGACGTTAGCGTATCCTGCTAGAGCGAGATGTCGTATGCTTTGGTTCACTGAACTCTTTGTGTGCCACCTCTCTGGAGTCCTCACAGTGAGACACGAAGCAGTCCTTCTCCGCAGTTTTGCGCTGCTGGAAAAAAAGAAGTATTTCCTCTCTAACAGCTGTTTCTGCTTCCTGTTCTACCTTAAAAGCTGATGTTTTGATGCTTTGACTCCTCCCTTCTCCTGGGACTTCTTTAGACAACATAGATCTTCGTCTCCCCTCCTCCTGCCACACCTGGTGTGGACTGCGGTGCCTTGGTCTGCCTGGGTCGTGGCTCCTGGGTCAGAGGTTTTGAGATTTTTGGCACCTGCCTGATCAATCCCAGTGGCTACCTGGTGGGGTCTGGGTCCCTGGGCTCTGCTGGGATCCCGGTGGGGGTGGTCGCCCCTGGGTCCCAGGTTGCTGGGTCCCGGGCTCAGCCAGCTAGGGGGTGGGAGGCTGCAGGTGGGTCTGTGGGCTTGCCGCTGAGATCTCCCGGGACTCTGCCGGCTGCTGGTTGTGGCCCCCCGGGGCGATCCTCTGCGCCACTCGAGGGGGGCGGGGGCTTTTCTGGTCGCAGTCTCCTTGGGGTTCCTGTGTTCTGGGGCAGCGCCTGGATCTCTGGGTCTTGGAGCTCCCTCCATCTCCGACACATCTTTGGGGGGCGGATCTGTGGTCCCTCACACTCTCTATTGGATGCTTTTATAGAGAAACCTTACATAAACAAGCGCGTGTACACACACATGTGCTCACATGGTACTCTCATAAGTATGGACTTGGGCACGTTCAACACATGTCTTAAGGCTGTCGTTGCCACTAAATGCACTATGATTTATTATCGTGTGATTGTTCAGTTAAACAATGTTGATTTTATATTTCTTCAAGTTGACACAGAGATAGCTTGCTCTTGTTGTATTGTTGTGTGTCCCTTTTTTCTCTTCTTTCTCTTTCTGCAGGTCTAGAAGCAGACTTTTGTTCATTATTGTTTATTTTTTTGGAAGTTTGTGGTAAATTTAAATATTCTGCCTAAAACTGTTAATGCTTCACCCTCTTCAGGTAAAAACTCTGCACTACATTTAAATTTAAATCTGACACCATTATTGGCTAAGATGAACCCTATGATATTAGCTGGTACCATAATCCGTTAATAGATTATAGCTGTGATGGGAAATATCCTGTCTGAACTTGATGCATTTAAACAGATAAAGGTCTAATTATTGAGAAAAAGTGTCTTGGATCATGAAATATGAAAATGATCTCTTCACCTTTTGAAAACTGACCCTCAAGCTGATCCATGCACAGTATTTGTTGTCTGTGATAACATAAAATAAGGAAGACATATTGATGAAGGTCTCAACCTTTGCTCTTTACTGGTCAATCATGATCCCTCATTAGTCATTATCTAAGATCTACCACTAACTCTTACCCACATCCCAATAATAGGCAAACATCTCTGGACTGTTTGTATTGTGCCCTGAATGTTTCACCTGAGATCTGCACTGAATGCAAATAAACCAAGAACAATTATATTTGATTTGGCTGATTTCTTTAACGCTTTCACAACTACTGCCAATTGGAAAAGGACTGCTGTTGATTTGATAAGTGCTGTTAATTGCAGTGCATCAGTGTGTGTCCACATTCCCTCAGCAGGGTGTGTAGGAGCCCCGTGGCCTCGGGAGAG